TACCACTGGCCTTTTCAGTCTTTTCCTCATGACATCATCCGTTCATACTAGGTAACAAAAGAAAACTGGATTTTTTTTTTTTACATCTGTTTTACTTTAGAGGCAAAGGACAAAAGGGGAAAGTTTAAATATTTTGAAGTGTTTGCATTTTTTTTAGGATTTATTTTAAGTTGTTTTAATGCTTTATAAAATCTTCAATTGTCTTAGTCCTACATAAGTATGAGATTTGCTTTCATTGTCCTATGATTACCTCTAGCGTCTCTTATACTGATATATTCTATGCAAGGTTTATTTTTTAATTTTCATTTTTGTACTCTAGAAAAAATTTACAATAAAACTCCTACTAAATTTAGCAGTTTTCAAGTGCTAAATGTGCAGAAAGTATCTTTAAGAGTATAAGCTTGCAAACTGTGGTTGCCACACGATGACTCTTGATATTGTTTAGGATCAAACATATTTCCACACAGCCAGCAAGGAGACAGTGTAGAACCCTTCTTTCAGTCATGTGGAATTTTATTAAAATGATTTTAAACACTGTGACAGTTTTTCTTTATTTTTTTGCAAATTTGAAAAAACTAACTTCTTTTTTAAAAATTGCCTAGTTTCATACAAATTGGTATGGTTTAAAATACTTGTGTTGCCATCATTTTATGTGAAAGACGCTAATTTGTTTATGATAAATCGATGCTGCTTCTATAAAAACATAACATTCTCTGGTACTGTTTGAGCAAAAATATACTGAAATTATACCTAATTTGTGGAAAGGAACTGCATTCTTGATTCTAGAATTGTAACATGTTTATCTTCCTTATTTACCTTCCAAAATTATATTAGGTTTGTTTTCCCTCCTTCCTTTTTGGCTAAGAAAAAGCACAAGATAACCTTGCACATAACTGCATACTTGCAATGTGCAAATACGAAAGTCAGAATAGAGTCCAGCTCTGCTGTCCATGCCACACTAATAGCCTGCACCATTGTGTGAATCCAAGCTAACATTAAAGATCCTCAGGTCTCTGGGGTGTGCTGGTTAAAGAGGAATATTTCAGTTCATGTTTACAATCACCAGACTTGTTCAGTTCACGCCCTTCTCTCATTCTTCTGCATTTTAAACTCAGTAATTATCTGCCCACATGCCTAGAAGCCTGTGCTTGTAGCTTTCACCATCTTCCTGACCGCATCTTCCCTTGATGAACAGGCGGCAGCAGCAATCCATCGGAGTGCACGTTTATGGAAACAGCCAACCAACCGCATCCTGACTGAGCCGAGTCCCTCGGATTGGGTCTATAATAGGACAGTATTGTACTCAGTAACGCCTTTAAGGACACAAAGTGTCCCGTTTAAGCTGTTTACCTACTCCACAGCTCAGCCTCTACCGAGGCTGGTCCGTTGCCTGTTTGAGCTTTAACAACATAGTTGAAAACTGTGCTCGCCTACCTTAAAACGAGCGCCTCGCAGTCCCTAGAGATGAGCCGGAAACCAGCCCCCTCAGCAAACGAGGCAATTAAAAGTTCTCACTTCGGCAGCGGCGGAGAGGCGACACGCGCGAGCCGGTGCTGCATCCGTGTGATGAAACCATACACCTGTTTTTCAAGGCTGCCCAGAGCCGCTCGGTATCGATCAGCTCGGCTAACTAAAAGGCAGTTCCTTCTCCACCACTTCCTCTCTCACTCCCTCTCTCTCTCATGGGGGGTCAACAGGCCCGGGGAGGTGAGGCGGGGGAACCTGTCCTAGTCGGTTTTCTCACCAAACAAACGCAACAGCAGCCGGAGTGGCGACACTAAACGCACCGAATGCGTCCTGCTTCTCCTCCTCCTCCTCCTCTTCTTCTTCTTCTTCTCTTTTTTCTCGACAGGCGCGCCAGTCGCACCGCTGTGCTGATAAACTCTGCCGAACCACCTACGTCCAGAAATGGTCAGAATCTTCCGTTTCCGTTTGGCTATTAAGTGAATGATGCCGCGGCTTCATGCGCAAAATGGCCACTGTTATTTTCATTCAGCAGCTGACAACCGCGAGCCTCTCATTGGGCCACCGTGTAGCCATGGCAACGCCCGCGGTTCAATCAGTGCTGGCAGAGGACGCAGGCCTGTGTGTGTGCGGCTCCCTGACAGGAAAGTAACACTTCGCTTTGTATTCTCACAAAGGAGAAACAACAGCTGACCTCATACTTGTATGAGGTTATGTAGAGGTTAACAAAATAATATAATCAGTACAATGTTGGGGTTTGCTATAGGAGTAAACAAATGCTTTGAAACATTACTGCTACCATTTCTGAGCTTGTCATATTTCAAAGGAAATGTAAAAATATAATTTGATGCACATCGGTCTACTAATATTCTCTTGGAGAATTGCTGAGTCTTTTTATTGAAAGGCATGCCAGGATTCCTGCTGTGAACTGTGTTCACCTTACACCAGCTAGGAAGATTCAACAGTTATTCAAATCCTAACAGCAAAGAAACATCTCTGTTAACTTATTAAACACATCCATCTGTGAGTAATGCACCAGTGTTCATTTAATACCCTGGAAAATGTTTAACATTTTTGTCACATTACAATCAAAACTTTGATTCATTTCTGTTTGATGGAGCAACACAAAGTAGTGTTGTCTGTCACAGGAAGCAGACAGGTCTTGCTTTGTAGAATATCCTTCTGCTGAAGTAACAGCTGCAAGTCTTTTGGGTTAAATTTCTACAAGCTTTGAACATATAGATAGGGATTTACAAGGGTGTGAGCGCCTGGGCTGGGGCAAGTTTTGATACTCTGTCCACTGAAAAAAAAATTTCACTAATGCAAATTAGGAGGTATGTGTTTAATAGCGATCCAGAGCATACACTGCATTTATCTTTCATCACTCAAGTGACCTACAATTAGATATTAAATAACTTGATTATAAAGTAATAATCCTTTGAACCTGTCAGTCTGCTCACATTCACCAGCCTCTTAAAATATTTAGACTGGACCCAGGAGTGTAGAGAATGCTAGATATCCTACTTCTACATCAGCAAATGTAGCATTTGCACTTCAAAGACATTGCATTTTTAGATATCATAACTGTAATATTGTGGGACCAGACTATATATTATATTTCTCTCTTTTCCAGCTTACTACAAACTCAGTGTGTTGGTAGAGACAAAATGACTTAAACTGTATGCAAAGTGTTAAAGCCTGTTTATGAAATAGGAAATATATGTCCAAAATTGTCTATTAAGTCAAAGAAAAAATATTCTGATCTGCAGGACATGATTCAGCCTTTGTAAATATTTGATGAATCCAATAATTGTCAGTTCTGTGTACCAATACTTAAACAGTTCTCAAATTGTTTCGGTGATTATTTGTATATAGTGTCGAAGTCACACATCTTCATACATCTTGGTCTCCAATTTTCACTAATATTATTCTATTTTTTTTTTTTTTGTTAAATTTTAGTTCATTCAGTTTCATGATATATAAGCATCAAATCCAAGTTAAAGTACTTCAATTCATTGCCCTATCATTTTCTATGCATAATAATTTGACCGACATCAATTCAAGAAATTCACAAACAAAAACTTGTGGGTAAGCAGAAGGACCAATATTACCTTGACTACCAAGTCAAACTATCAAATAATTTATTTATTACTAAGTCCCAAGTAGTGATGTTGCTAGCAAGAAAATTCAACCGTTTTCATTGTCAGTGGGATGTTTTAAAAATTAGGAAAAAGATTTCAGGAGGCATTTCAATTTTAAAAGCATATGAGGCTTTTAGTATGGAACAATTAAAGCTGTTCATTTATTATTCCTTTGCTATTTCATACATTTTTTGTTGTGATCAATTCCATTATTCATACCTTATTATCTTTTGAGAACAGAAGGGGAGATCTGCCACAATAAGTCAATTATTTCCTGTCTTATGGAAGTTTTACTGAACAGGCAAAGGGCAGAATTGATCCAGAATCATCCAAATTTAAGGACGGCTATTTCACAGGGTAGGTCCATTTTAAACTTCTAAGTTTCTAAATGCTATTATGTAAATTCTAGATTTCGGAAGGATGGCAGCCTTTTGAAAGTCTCACAGTATAACTAATGACACCTTTTTTAGGAAATACACAGAGATTGGTATTTATACTTAATGCTAACTCTGGTAAGGGCAGATACATGACGCTAGCATGGGCATTGCCTTCCTATTCTGTTCTGCTAATTCTCATCTCCCTTCTGTGCACCGTCGGATTTGTCCCATTGACCTCGATTTCAACTGGGCAGAAGGTTCATGATTAAGCTGGTGCATTACATACGTCACAGCCTAACAATAGCAATTGGGTAAAATTGAAAACTTCAACAGAGACAATTCTTCCAGAAAGCAGCTGTTTCTCAGTAGCCAGGGCTCCAGACCTTCCACACGAAGCAAACGTAAAACAAAGGGTATCTTACTTCTGGGCTAGTAAGATGCTAACGCTAGTTTTAAAAGTCTTTATTGTTTTAAACCTTGTTTTATAGCTTCTGCTCTCTAACACACACAGTGTGTTGTCACTTATGCTCTTATATCAAGTACTGCAGACTAGCCACGGTAGTAAGGATAGAAACAAGTATGTTTTGAATGTTGCTAATTACATTTTTTTTTAAAAACTTATATTGAAGTTTTCTCTGATAAAATCAGTTTTGGGAGGTTAAAATTCTAATAAACTAGAAAATCAGAATTTGGCAAAAAATAAAAAAAAAATCTCTGACCAGTTGAGACTTTTGCAAACTACAGATATCTGTTAAAACCTAATCATGTGCAGAATCAATTATATCCATAAAGAAACCTTTTCTATGTCATCTTTAAAGGTGCTCAAATTTAGAATGTTATTGATAGCTGACCTTTTGCGTTGTGTCACCAAGACCACATCTGCGTGCGTGCATGCGTGTGTGTGCGTGGGTGCATGTGTGTGTGTGCGTGTGTGTGAAGGTGCACACATGTTTCTGAATGCCCATGTACACATGTCTGCATGCATTTGGCCTTTCATCGCCAACTCTTATGAGCAGAATATATGGGCTTTACTGAAACTTGTCAAAGGGATGCCTTTTATAGCTGGTATGCTATCCGTAGACATGCTATCAGCGTTGCATTTTTAGGACCTGAGTATATGATGATGACACATTATGTCTGGTATGCAGAGATCCGGGTGTGATGGAGGTGTAGACATACAGAGAGCAAAGCAGAAGACCATACACATGTACATTATTGGAAAAGTAGTCAGGTTAACTTGGCCACCTCACAGGAATATCTTTCTACAGACGAGAAAGGGATGGAGGGCTAACAGTCATGCGTCATTCATTTAGGGAAGTCCAATGTTGACACCAACATCTGACCTTGGATACAAGATACACCCAGTTTAACCATTGACGTGCCACTAAAACTTAATAGTTCACTCAGAGTATCTGTATCTGAGCGCGGCCTTAATTCAGCTACAGGACCCTGTGGTAGGATCCACTTCATGCCTGCAATTATCTAATGTTCAACCCTATCAAAGCACACTCCAAGAATAGCTCTAGAATTAAGGACTGTGGTCTGGCACATAGAGCTTGTGAGAAAATAACTTATTTATCTTAGCAGTGGCACTCTCACATCTTTCCACCAATGCCTTCCAAAGTGAACCACATTTGGAACAGCTGATACCAAGGCCCACTCATCTGGTCAATGTTGAAGAAGCACTTCTGTGCTGAATGTGTGGCTGGCATCTGACTACAGGAGGACATTGTCAGGCAATGACATCATGGTGCTCCCACTTCCATTCCAGGCATGCTTTGATCTCTTAGGGCCATCCAGGTGAAATGTGTAAGCAGATCTGAGAGAGGAGACTGATGCTTGATCCTACAGCCCCTCTATGTTTAGCTCTGCCACAAGGTAAGACATTTATTTAATTTAACACATTTTGTTGTTATTTTTGCCATTCTGTTGTCCTCCGTTCTGCATATTCATGTCAGTAAGTTTAAAAAAAACAATAGATTATATTAAAATTTCAACTCTGATATATTTCATGCATTTGCTGCTGTTATTTTCATCCCCAAATTCAGAATTTTGAAATTCTCAGTTCAGATTCTCACAAAATTAAGATGTTTTCAATACAGAAATGATTAAATAATTTGAAAGCATTGTCTAATATTTGTACTCGGTACTCGTTCTGTGTCAGTTTGGCTTGGTTTTCTACAGTTTTGGCACATATTTATCTTCAGTTAAAATTTAGTAATATTGGATACAACACATTGAACAACAAGCTTATTTGGCAATAATCATTTTAGCTTACTTCCCATGAGGAAAGTGTCAATAGCTGCATTTTCATTCATTTCAAATTAGACATTTCAAAAAATGATTTTGCTAAGTGGAAACCCACCATTTTCTGGAAAAAAAGATCTTGTTTTTAGATTAAACATTTTGGCGATAGGATGAGGTGGTTTTTGGGCCATATTGAAATTGGAAACACTTTTTACGCAAGCTACATAATCAATAGCCAGATGTTGCCTCTAGAACAATCCGTCAAGAAGAATACGACAGGAAGTAGTTGGGGGATCATGGCGCAGCATGTTTTTAATGACTTATCGTGTGAATAAACTCATTTAAATGTTTTTCTTATATAATGGAAATACCACAATTGCAATTTTTTATTTTCACATTAACAGAGTATTAATGAAGTTTTACGGACATTTGTAATGGAAACACAACGGATGTCTGTCTTCAAGGTAACTGCCCAGACAGTTTTATCTCCCATAATCATTGAATAAAGAATAAATTAATCTAAGCATATATACATATAAATAGAAACAAGTTTCACATTTTCAATTTAGTTGCTGAAATTAACTATTAACAGGTATAGCGTTCTAATTGATTTATCCTCAACCACACGTTCTTTTATATCTATCTTAGTGTCTTTTTCGATTTGCTTTACTTGTTCTGATCAGACAGGTGTTGTCCAGCAGCTGTCACTCATTCCCAAAGTTGCGGCTCACTTTAAAATCCCTGCACTGTGGCCCTTGCTGCCCTTCCACATGAATCAAACGAGTCAACATTGCCCTGTAAAAATGCCGGTGTCAGCCATGAGTCAGTTTGTGAAAAGCTGGTGCAGCAGTGTTGTGACACAAGGCTATAAAATGATGACACAATAGAAAAACGACCAAAAAATGGAGGGTGAAATAAATTGAAGGGTAATAGAGTCAAAAAAGTCAAAAACAAGATGAAACAGTAAGTGGGACACATTGACAAGGTTTCTTTTTTTATCCAAATATCAAAATTATGATGTCATTCTAACTTTGTTATATTTTTTTGGTAGAAAGTAGTGCCAACAAGTCTCCTGTTTTAGATTAAGAAAATCTAAAAATCTTTAAAGTATAATACTTATATTACAGTAAGTCTCTCCATTGTTTTTTTAAAGCAGGAAGGCAATAATCAATGGTTCACATAATGTTGGAATTACTCACTATGTATTGGATTAACAGCTATTCAGTTTAGAAAATTGTTCTGTAGAGAGATGATTTTGCTGATCATACTTTTTGCATTGGCAATAAATGAAACATAGCAAAACCATCACACATTTTTGCATCAACCAATGACAAAAATAACTCAATCACTCTAAAATAATTGCAGTTTTTTTTCTATCACCAGTTGTTCCTGATGCAAATTAAAAGTGAAAATGCTGAAAACCTACTTGTTATATAAGATTGATCGATTTGACATTTACAAGCGTAATAATGTGCCTATAATACTCTGCGAAGAGATTAAATGTATAGTATTTAGATGTAAAATGAATTTTCAAGACTGTCCTTCCTAAGCAAACTCAGTACTCAGACCTAAGGGATGATTTGTTGTTACCCTCTCTGAATGTAAAGGACTTAATCTGACTCTGACTTATCACACAATATCTCTTCTTATCAGGAAATGAAAGAAAAATAGATTGGATTGGGCTTCCTGCAATGTGGTTACCCTTTCATGTTTCAAGCATAATAGCATTTATTTCTAATATTACTTTGCGCTTCATACTCCTCAGTGCCCTTCGCTGTGGGTGCACCAGACCCCCTCTGTGTGAGTGACTGCTCAACAGACCGAGCACTCACTCACATAGAGTGAGTGTTGTGACTGAAGAAATGCTGCACGACCTGCTACTGATGCATTGTCTGCCACCACGCTTCTCAAAAAAACCAGTGGGGCTTCTCTTGCTGACTTATGAAACGCTAATGTGTGGAGCTGCCCTCCAACCTAAAGCTAGTTTATATCTGAGCAAGTTTTAAAAATGTCCATGAATACTCACTGTTTGGAGATCTAGAAAGCTGACTCTTTGTAATAATCTCTCATTGTAGACTTGTAATATATTCGAGGAAAGAATTCATCTTCTTCAGACTAAAACTCTAGTCAGTGTAACAACTCTGGAGGAGCTGCAGAGATTCCCAACACTGAGGGGAAAAGGAGTGAAGGGGAACTAACGCTGCACATCATCCTCAATGCACCAACCCTCTGGTCAGACATCATGATGTTGTCATCATGCATTAAGGGTGCTTATTGCACCATAGTCCAGACATTAATCCAGTTGACAATGTGTGGCAAGAATTGAAAATGTCTGTCCTCCGGCGCTCTCCATTCGATGCAAATGACTTTGAGCCATTTTGGAAAGAAGAATGGTCAAAGATTTCAGTCTCTATGTCAAAGCACCCAAAACCTTACTGCAAAAAGCGATTCAACAAAGCATCCACTGGCACGCCTTGGATACAAATATTCTACATACGTCTCAGTTTTATTAAAAAAATAAAAAAAATTGAAGAAGCAGAAATGGAGTCCACTGTTGCTACGGCCCAGTCCAGTAGGAGCGAATGCTGTGGGTCAGTAACTCCATAAAATGGAAGTTACTGACCCATTGAAGTTGCCATTGAAACAGGGTAATTACTTCACTTTAATTACTTATGTTTCTCTAATAAATATATAGTTTCAAGTAATAACTGTGTTTGCACTAAAAGCTAAAATGAAAGTGCTTCTTTTTTTTACTTCACCTCAAAATCTAAACTTAATCTAATGGCTCTGAGCAATCTAAACTTAATCAATCAATAGATCAGTCAGTCAAGTTTATCAGTATAATACATGTCAGTAACATTTTGAAGTCTATTCTCTCAGTGGAAGGACTGCAGAACTGGCTGATGTGCTCTATCTTCCTGGTTTTAGTCAGAATGGCAGCAGCAGCGTTCTGGATCAGCTGCTGCTGGGGGATTGATTTTTTATTGTAGACCTGTGACTCTGAGCATTAAGCATCCATAATACCAATATAATAAAACCATGCCAAAATAATGATAACACAATGATTGTGATGTTCTATAACTTGACATTGGCATCATCAATAAAATCACCAAGATACTAACAAGCCTGAACATGGAAAGCATCTATAAAAATAAATATGTACGTCAGAATTCTGTATATTATCTAATTTATTACACTTATGGGCTGTAAATCCAGTCATAGATTTCAGTTCAGATTCTTCTCGGGGCCTCTAATTAAGTAATGGTTCAATAAATCTCTGCACTCCCAGGAGAGAGAGCCGGGACATTTACCAGAAGCCAAACAGGAAGAGATTAATACAAATCGAACACACAGCAGTGGTGACACAGAATGGCATTCACATTTAGAAAAACTATGCACATATAAACAGCCTAAGTCACAGTGGGAGGATTTAAAGAGCAATAAAAATGTCAAAAAGCCCAGCTGTTCGTGTCAAACCAGAAAACGCTGAAAGGATTTTGAACAGTTTGGAAAATTTCACTCCTATCAAACTCTAAATGATCTTTTTTACCTCAGTTTGAGCGTTCTCTGCCTGTCCTCCCTCTGTTCTCTTAGGGCCAGACAAATCAGTTCCATTTTTTCCCTCTACATGGAATGTAGCTCCTTAAATCCTTATCCTTCTTTGGATAACAGCTTGGCTCTGCTACGTCAAAATGATTTGATGTACTAAATTAGTTTGACCCAGAGAAATATTTGTGCATTTGGCTAAAGAAGGTGTATATTTTAATTCAAAACAAACAAGTAAAATAAATTCCCATCAATAATATTTTTTTATTTTTTGATAGGAATCAACATGTCCAGGCTCTCCTCACCTCGCCAAGCTGACTGGCTGAAATCAACTTTTCCCTCAACAGCTGATGGACTCCCACGGAGGCAGCCTAGTTTTACCTTTTAGAGCTGAACCCAAGAAGCCAATCACCATGACAGCTCCGCCTCCAGTTCCACTGTTACACACCCACACTATGGCTGACAGAGCCTCCAGGTTCAAAGGTGAACTCGACCCCTCCACCATGTGAGGTTGGAGATTCTATGGAGAAGCAACCAGCAAAGGTGAATTGGTGCCTCATAGCCCAAGCTGACTGTCTCCCTCAGGTGGAAGAGTTGAAGTATCTCGAGGTCTTAAACTGGTATTGGTCTGTTCTGGACAAACTGTATCCTAACTGCCAGCTCCATTCAAACACACACACAAAGATGAGAATAAAGTATCAACCCAACCTGTAACTTCAGATAAACACACCAACCTGAGAGCGAGTTGCAGTTTGTTGCAAAGCTGCAAGGCTACAGTGCCAACCACACCACAGCTCCTAAGTTCTAACAATCATCAAAGGAATTCTGACAGAAAAACCCATCAGTAAGTCTTAGAAAAGCTCTGAAGTTTGGATTTCTTTGCTCTTTTCTAATGCTCAGATCCATAAATCTAATGTGCAGCTATAGTGAAATAAAGAAAGTGGTCCAGTTGAGTAACCAGGATTGCTCTTTTGCTGCTCTTATAATCCACAAGTAGTTGAAGAAAGAATTGATTCACATTTAATTCTCATGATTCTACATGTTACAGCTGCTGTATTTTACAGTGCTGGGCCTGTTTACTGGTACCACCAGTAAAGCAGCAGGATGATCACATGGTGAAAGATGACATTTCTTACTTTACTCTCCAACCTAAATTTATTAAAGTGAAGTTTGATTTTTCTCAAATTTTCACAGCAATATTAAATTAATAGAATAAAAGATTCCTTTATTTCAAAGTCTTTAGCATCTTTATATATGAAACACAATGTGCCCAATCTTACATTTGGTCACCTGGCTAGATTGAAGATGAAGCCTAAAACTAAAGCAACAGGCAGGTTTCTCTTCACATCCCATCATTTAACTGCATTAATTCCTTCAACGGGTTTTTACGCTGCGGTGCCTGAGTTGCTCCCCTAATGAGGTCAACACTGGCACATTCAGAGCCCCGTACGTCCTCACCCACTACATTTCTCACTCCTTGCGTTTCACTGAACTGCACCACAGAGAGCGAACAGAACCATAGTAGATCCATGCTGCTGATTCCACTTGACTATTGATGTCCTGTCAGCCCCTAGAGGCCACTTATAGTGAGAAGAGACCGGAGTCAGCACTTACCGAGCCTCCAGGCGCTGAGGAAAAGCACACACCATGTACAATGAAAAAAAGGAGAAAACAAAAGATTGATCATTGTCGTAGAGCTGCTGTAGCTCATATTAATTTTACGGAATGTTTTTCTTATTTGTACTCTTTGGGGAGCTCTAACACCTCGAACGTCAGCAAGTCGTCTTGGTGGATGTGAGAAAATTTTCCTTCCTGCCGTCTACAGGAAGATATGTTGCTGCATCCCCTCAAATGTCCCAGTGCAATAAAAAAATGCTCAGATGTTTCACTTCGTCATCCTCTTCTTCCCTTTACACTCTGAAGCGTAACAGGCACTTTGTTCCCAAACATGTTGTGAAGCAGCAACTCACTCTAAAGGCAGATCTGGAATTCTGACCTCCAAACATCATTGGTCAGCATAGCGGGGAGAGGGAGAGATACTGCAGTGGGCTTTTTTTCTGCAGAGGTCTGAGGGAACATGCTACACATCTCTGCTATCCACGTGCATTTGCACTCGGATCATCTCCGCTTGTTCTGCTTCGCCAGCCAGGACGATCATCTGAAAAGATCGAGCTAAGAAAGGTTTTAATATGCTATTTCTCGTGTTTTCTGATTTCTTATTAAATCTTGTGGTGTTTGTTTGTCTCCCAGAACTCTTCTAAATCAAGAAATCACAACTTCATGCATTAGATTTAATGTTAGGGTGAAAATAGACAAATCAAAAATCTAAAAATAAGAACGAGCCCTCATCAGAAGTACTCTCACTGATCACCTGTGTGCAATACTCCTCAGGATGCAGTGAGGATGAAAATAATCTTTCCATCTGAGTTAATGTGCCTGCTTATATAATCTGGGTTCACGCACGTCTTTATGTAACTGGAAGGGTAAACTCACTGTTTGTGTCGAGGCATCCCAACACTCCGGAGATCCGCTCTGCAAATGAGGGAGAGGAGCTTTACCAGGTCCAGTAGGATGAAGTATGTGGCACACGCACTCCTGTTGACGAGGCTGCTGCCTCCTTCCATTTATCCATTTTGCATGAGTGCATTCAGTCACAGGCAGGCACGCAGGCAGGACACACCGGCTGCGGTAGGTGAAACGTGTAGATCAGAGCCACCTACTTGATCCACTTCCATCCAAATTCAAAGTTATTCTGTAGAGAGTCTCACCTCGTCCTGGTTACTGTCATCCTCCATGCTACAGTTCCCCACTTCTGTCTCTGAGCGCACCGTATGATTCAGCTGGACATCTTCTGGCACAGCAGCTCACTCTGCATCATTTCCTGCTTGTGATTTATATCTCAGTTCATTTCAAATTCATTGTCTGTCCTATAGAGTTTGCATATACAACCACAGCCACAAAGCTGATAGTAGAAGTTAGCCCTGCCTTTAACAGGACTTGTGTTAGTTCAGTCTTTGGCACAAAGCCTTGTAATGTAAGCTGCTTCAGCTTAGCAGCAGCATAAACCAATCAGGTGGCCTAAGAGCTGTCCCAACAACAACCTGCTGATTATCAGAGGGAGGAATGAAGGGAAAAAACAGGAGGCAGGAAGGTGTTAGTGTAGCTTAGTGTGGTGGAAATGTGTGGAATTATTTCCTAATTATTGTTAATCTACATGCTTTAATTTTACAACAGAAGGATTATATTACAATCAACACAAACATTATCTTTGAAAAATCTTAAAGGGGCAGTATTGTGCATTTTCCAGGCACATAGTGCCATTTTGTAGCACAGCCAACTAATTGTTAACTTCAGCTTTAATACAAATGCTGCATATATCAAACAGGACTTATAAAAAAAAAAGTTAGACTTTGTAATTTAATGACTTGAAATTGAGCCTCTGCCTCTTTAAAAATTCTTGCTCTTTCTGAAACTCTGCCTTCAGGAAGTCATCACAACATGCCTCCTCTATTAACCCTTTAGGAACATTTTCATCAGCGATGAACTCGTGAAGTAGTTCAAGCTCCTAAAAGGTGTTTGCTAATTGCTGCTGGCTAGTCTGAAGAAGCTGAGTGGAGGAGTCATGGCGGAGGGCAGCGTGGCAGTGCTAAAGCCATCCAGACATTTTGAAAACCTGAATGGTTGCTAGATTCCTTCATCTTTCAACCTCTGAGGTTGAAAGATCTTTCTGACATGCATGAAGGAATCAAAGCAACACTGAAGGTATTTTATTTATTTATGCATTTTTATTTTTTATTTGTTTTGATGAGGGAATAACATTATAACAGAATATAATGCTCAAAAAAGTTCATTTTATGTAAAACTCTCCTTTTAATTCATTTAGCAGACATATGTGCTGTTAGATGGTCACACAGGGTCGGTGACCTCCGTTCATCTGTTAGTGGATGGAAACTTTAGAGAAAGTCAATAAGATGTGCCACAGGGGAATTAGGGATAAAATACTTTTACAAAAACTGGTTTGAGTGTTCTGTGTTGGATATACACAGACAGCATGCAGAACAAACGTATGTCCCCTCAAATATTTCTTCTATTTTTGCCACTCGGAAGTTTTCAGAACATCTCTGCAACCGTATTTGTTCTCCCTTAGCATTAGCAACAACCACAAACGTGGGTCTTTTAAGTTGCTGCGGAGGAAGTTTCAAAGTTTTTTTTTTTTTTGATTGTTTAAAATCAGACACATTGGAGAAGGATCAACAGCCTCCTTTGGGTTACACTATATAATCTAAATAGAATTTAAGGGCTTGGAGTAGGCCACTCCAGAATGTCCTTTATTGGAGCCATTCAGAGGAGGGCTGATTTTGATGACTGACTGTGCTGCTAACTGTCTAATTGTCCTTCAACTTGAGGTCATAAACTGATTACCAGACAGTTTCCTTCAAGTTTTTTGGAAGAGTGAAGAACTCCTGGATCCATCAGAGATGGCATATCTTCCAGGTCCTGAGTCAGTAAAGAAGCCCAGATCATCACACTACCATCCAAATGATGTTCTTTTCCTGAAATGTTCTCAGTTTTAAGTCAAATCTAACACTGAATTGAACTGAAATGAATATATTTTGTAATAGTACAAATGAGAGCAATATTAGCACAGTTTCATCACAGGACAAAACCCCCCAAAACAAATCATTTCCCACAAATATAATACGAACACAAAGCTAACAAACCAACAACACTGGAAAGAGACAGTTAAAACTAAAAAAGTGTGGATTATAAACGACAAAAAAGATGCTACACAGAAGGTACATAAAAATGGATTATAAATCATATTAAAATACTGACAAAATTTTAGGATTCTTCTTATAAGCACTTTGCGTTACTCTCAAGTTACGTCCTGGTTCAGGGGCATTATTTCTGTTTTTTAGGTATTTTTAACATCCATTTCATTTTGCAGTTGATGTAGCTTGTTTTGTTGCATTTATGAATCATGTTGCATCACTGCCCTGTATTCAACACAAATAAAAACACCATGGCCAGTGTTGATGTTACTTATCTTAAGCTGGGTTCATGACTGTTTGAAAAGGCAATTTTTGTGTCAATTTCTTCATATATAGAAATCAACATAAAACAAAGTAAAAAATACTCTTAAATTGGGATTGTTGAATAAATGCTTAGTTTCATTCAGACTTTGAGATTTTACAACTTTAAACTTTGGAGGATCTGGTTTGATTGATGAGCCTCTGGAAATATGGAGTATCCATTCTGTAGCATTGCAGCTGATTCTCTTTTTGCTACCTTGCCGTGATTTAAACAGCCTTTTGGACAGCTAACTTAAATGACTTAACATTTCTGGTGAACAATCTCATCAATCCAGGACACTAATGGTGATAGAAAAGAAAAGGACAGTTGCATTGATCCGTGGTGGCTAAACATTACTGGGACCAGCAGCAGATCATTTTTCTGTTCCATCAGTGCTGACCTTACAAAATGGACTTGCTAATTCCATTATGTTCAGATTTATTACTATTTTAAATGTCAACACTAATGCACTTACTTACAGCCTAAAACTGCAAGGACAACATGCAGAGAAGAATAAATCTACTTCATCACATTTACGCACAACCTTTATTAGGCTATGCTATACATCACTGTAAAAATTATTTCTGATAAATTATGACCTTGGCCAATGAGTTATTGCACACAAAGAAGATTAAAATTAAAATTGTTGTCAACAATGTACTGATAAAACACATTATTGTGTATTTTTTTCATATTTAATTTGACATTTTCATTACAAATAATACTGCTGAGCCATGAATAAAGTAATGGTTGAGATGGACCAAAAACACATTGGGTGTCCTTATAAGTGAGCGTTTATGTTAGCGCAAGCTAAAACGCCCTCCAGATTCTCTTAAATCTGTCTGAGGTACCAGGGGCCTCAGTCGTTTTTTATGGTCTCCAGCATTTTATTCATCTGTGCAGAATCGGCCATCTGATCACAGAACAGCAATGCAGACGATGAAGAGCAACCAAACACTGGCAGCTTGTGTCAGAGCTTTGGAGGAAACAAAAATGTTGAAAATAGTGCAACATTATTTTTACTGACAGTCATTTGTGTCACTACAACACGAAAAAAAAACATTCAACAGAGATGGTTACATGCAGATGCAGAACAAAGTTTATCTCATTCAAACTGAATTCCGTATGGAGCTAAAGCAGCACTCTGCTGCCCTCTAGTGGTTCCTCCAGCGCAAACTAGACCTTTAATGTCTGCATTTTAAGTCAGTCACGACAATGCGGGATGTAAAAAAATGAACAGAAAACAGATGAATCCATTGGTAAATATTGTTTTTAAAGAAAGAGAGAGAGAAAAAACAAGGAAACAAAGAAAGGATTAAAGAAACAAAGACAGACAGGTGTGGCAGATCTCAGCCTGCTGAGGAATGTGTTCAAACAGGACAAGATTTCTCTGCCATGAAAGAACTGAGCTGATTGAGGACAGCAGCTGTTCTTCAGAGTAAATGAAAACTGTTCCTTTACGTTCACTTCAGTGGTCAAATTCAAGCTCTTGTACAACAGAGCTTAAATTAAAAAAAAAAAAACACAACATTTTATGAGCTACAGTGCTTGTCCTTCCAAGCAGAGTTCCCAAAAACTGTCGTGAAGTGAAAATATCATGACTACAATATATTTTTACTCAACTAAAAGTTAAAAAAAAATCTAATAAAAGAGTTGTTATGGTTTACAAATAATACTCATTGACTAAAAAAATAAAGCACTCCTAACAGTGCTTTATTTTTTCTTCTTCTTTTTGAAAAAGGTATTTTAGATTAATATTCGATTTTAAATTGAAAATCAGAGCAGGAAAAAAAAGGTAGTCTAGAGTCGCGAAATGCAGCGGAATGGCCCTTTATTATTACAATCGGGGGCGGATCATAAGAACTGAGCCACGTTCAGCCTTCTGACTCAGGACGTCCCGCTCTGACCTGCAGAACCAACAGGAACCAATAGGAACCAACCTGACCCAATACGAGGTCGTTTAGAAAGCGAGGCAACCTGCCCGGCTCTGACCAGCCATGTCTAAATGACGCAAAGCAGTTGCAACGACATCAGACAAGCATGGAAGTGAAACCGGATCGAACCTTTTCCATTTCCTTATTTGCAGGCTTTGCTGCTGCTCACATAGCGACGATGTGAGGAAGGAGACAGTCTGACGGCACAAACCGAGACAAACACAAACCGGTAAGGATCTGCAGGGGGTATCGATTAAAACTATGAATCGTTCTGACAATGTGAACAGTTGATGTTTAAAGTTTGGTGAAACCGCTTTTAAAAGCACATAGGAGGAGCCAGAACAATGACTCAAGATGTTTTAGTAAACAGGAAAGTTGAGCTGAAGACTGCAGAAGTTTTAGATGTTTCATAGAGATCTCCTAACTTTACCATTAGAATCGTCTTGCATCTGTTTGTTCTGCTGTGACCACATGACTGTCTTGTACTGTAAACAGAATTGATCTGCAGAAAACTGGATTCTGTGTCGCTGCAGAAGAGTTGAAGCCAGGGCTGTTCCCGGCTGTGTGGTGCCCACTTCTCCTCTGCCAAAACAAGAAATGTTGTATTTTTCTTTGAATTTCTTGGGCCCTTGTAGATTGAAATATTCAAAAATTCTTATCTTTCTTTTTTCTAGAAAATGACTGAAAGTAACCTAAAAATTTCTCAGCTTTTTCTAGCAAATGTTTGACTCTTCAAACTCACAAATATCCAAGTTTTTAATTTCTTTCTAGAAAAGTTTTGGTGAAAATGTTTTTTTTTTCCCCCTAACTTTAATGATCCTAATAGCTGCTGTACATTTCTCCTTATTTGGTGGTGGAAATGTAATGTTCACAGGGACAAAAGATTTCAACAGGATTAAAACAAGGAAACAAGTGAAGTACAATAAACTAAATGTCACAAGATGCAGTATAACACAGAACCAGCACTTATACTGGTTCTGTTGTTAGAGCAAGGCTTGCTGTTTTCTGCTGCACCCTAAAAACATCAGAAAGATCTGACCTTATAAATGCTACTGACCTATTTAATCATGACAGGTTTTATTTTCCTGATGGCGATTAAAACCAGAAAATCCTTAACGTCTGCTGAACTTCTTCCACATTCAGTTTAATAATTATCTGAGCTTGGAAGAGTTTCATCTTTTTCTGGAGGAAATGTGTTATTTTTTTGTAGTATGTATCTATGAACATGCATTGAGACGCCATTTGTATAACATTGCACCATATAACAAACACTACTCAGATACAGATTTCTATTTTTTAAATGTAATTTCATGTTCTCAGTCACCTTCTGGACCTTTCTCACATTGCACTCTGCCTTGCTCTGTCTTCTCAGACTTTCTTTGAAATGCTGCATGCAGCTGGATCCTGCATCCCGACATGGGTCATCCTTGTTTGCACCGTGACTGTGTGTCCGTATTATTGCGCCGCCTCCTTAAAGAAGGCTACCTGCATCGTGCAAGATGGCAGAGCAGACTGCAGCCACCTCAGCCTGAACTCAATCCCTCAGGATCTTCCCGGCGACATCACTGTCCTGGACATGTCTCACAACAGAATGACAGCGGCTCCCCCAGACTCATTCAAAAGATACACGGGACTTTTGCACCTTAGCATTAGCTACAACAGCATCAAAACCCTGGATGAGGGCCTGTGCAGGAGCCTCCCTCTGCTGCAGACCCTGAACTTGATGCATAATGAAGTGCATTTACTCCAAAAGGAGAATTTCAAATACTGCAGCAAACTAACATGGCTGAATATGGCCAGCAACCGGTTAAAGCTGGAAGGAGAACCCTTCTCCTTGCTTCAGGTACATCAGATTTAGGTTGGATTATTAATAGTTCATGTTAAAAATAAAATGGGAGGTTAATAGAACGTATACAGTTAAACACAGCTACATGGAAATAACTCAAATTCACTTCCAGTCAGTTTATTTTAGTTGAAACAAAGAAAGTCAGACACAGACTCATGACAAACAATTATACGTTTCTAGTGCTCCATTCAACTGACCAAGTATTGAGTGCAGAAACTTTACAGTAACATGTCTGTTTCTGCAAAACTGTCTTTGTAGATAGAAACTCGTCTGCATTTGACGGCAGGCATTTCGTCGAACCTGGCGAAATGCCTGTCAGGTTTGACAGGCATTTAAAATCCCTTTTCATCGGTTGCATGGAATATTAAGATTTCAGAGAAAATTAAGCTGAAAACATAACACTGGTCAACAGCCAAACAGTTGTCTGGAGTTTTTCAACTCTTTAGGGTCATGTTGATGTGAGAATCCAAAGGTCACACTGGTTTTGCTCAATCGGGTCAAATTTCTGAACTATGGCGCAACTTGAGCATCAAAATGCAGGACTTGTTCTCACATCTGGATCGGTTCGCTGAGAATCTGGACCAATGAGTGATGAGCAGGAGAGATTCCATCAGGACAGGAAAGAGATCGAGAATTTTACACAATGAAGACATAATGTTCAATTCACATGTACTTACCCTTATCAGTGTGTATCATTCAATGTACAGAAATATAAGTTTGTAACATTTAATTTATACAATCTTTTGGAAAACAATTTTTTTTCTCCTAAAAACTTTTTTAGATGAGAAATATTAACAGAAATGATCTGATAATGTTAAAATATGTCATCAATTCAGATTTCTCTAAATCAAATTAGAATAAAATCCTGACCAGATTGAGAAAATGGATGTCATTTTTGGATTCAGCTGATTCAGTCCTGATTCAGTGTTAGGTTTTCTTACGTCCAGGCTAAAATACACCAATGTTATAAAAATAAAAAACCATCAGGTTTTTTTATGCAAGGCTTCATGATCTACTGTTTCTCTTCTCCTTTGCTGACAAACAGAACCTGAAATATCTTGACGTCTCCATGAACAACCTGAACTCAGCCAGGCTTGGTTCACAGCCTCAGCTGCCCAGCTTGGAAACCTTACAACTCAAACACAATAACTTCAACACTCTGAAAAGTGAAGATTTTTCCTTCCTGAAGGATTCACCCCTCCATGTCATCAACCTGATGTCATCTGTGTCCCTAGAAAAAGTAAGTTGTTTACCCCAAAATGGGAATTGAAATACTTTTGTCAAATACAGAACTGGTTGTAGCAGTCAAATTTCAGTTATCTCTTTTGTTTCCTCATTTCTGTATTTTCATAAATGGTGTGTGGGTGTGTGTGTGTGTGTGTGTGTTTTGTTTGTTTCTTGCAGTTGGAGCCTGGTTGCTTTAAGCCTATTCCAGGCCTGCGTATGTTATCCCTCGATGGTAGCAGTAAGGGCTTCAGATTCATATCTGACCTCTGTTCAGAGCTGTCTGACACAGCGATCAGTGTCATGTCTCTGAGGAACATCGGGCTGAAGAATCTGACAAGAAAAACCTTCTCAGGTTTGAAGAAAACAAACCTAACTCTTCTGGATCTGTCTGGCAACAGCATCGAGATAATTGAAGATGAATCCTTTCAGTGGCTGTCTGAACTTCAGACTCTTAACTTGACTGGCAACAGCATTAAGCACCTGAAACAAAGAACTTTTCTAGGCTTAAAAATGTTAAAAAACCTACAGCTGACTAAAGCGCTGGTGAAAAGTCAGAGACACTCTCCCCCTGTTATTGAGGATTTAACATTTCAACCGCTAAGCAACCTTGAGACCCTGGTGTTACAAAACACTCCATTTGTCAACATCACAAAGAATACTTTCACAGGTCTGATGAGTCTCACAGATCTTGACTTGAGCTGGAGCAATTCTATATTCTCAAGCAAAAAACTCTCCAGTGAGTTCTTCGTCTCTCTTGCCGATTCACCCCTGAGAAAGTTAAACCTAATAGGAAATGCTTTGGTGGGAATTGAAGCCGGGAGCTTCTCCTGTCTGAAAAGCCTCTCCACGCTTCTTCTTGATCGTAATTATATTTGTCAAACATTCAGCGGTAAAGAATTTGAAGGTCTCACTCAGTTACAAGAGCTTCGCATAAGCAATAACGTCCAGAAAATTAATCTGACCGCTGAGGCATTCGCCAGTGTCACTGATCTTAGAGTGCTGATGCTGGGAAAGAGTCTGCAAGCCGAAACCTTGAACCAGGACTCCTCTCCGTTTCGGCCTTTGTCCAACCTCACTGTATTGGATCTCAGCAACAACAACATTGCGAACATCAGAGAGAATTTGTTAGAGGGGCTTGAGAACCTCCGGGTCCTGAAGCTCCAACATAACAACTTAGTCAGGTTGTGGAAGAAGGCAAACCCTGGTGGGCCTGTCCTGTTTCTCAAACACACCCCGAGGCTGCTAAGCTTTGAGATGGATTTCAATGGAATGGATGAGATTCCAAGAGAAGCTTTCAGGAATTTAAGTCAACTCAGGGAGCTTAGCTTTAGCAACAATCTTTTGAACAATTTACGGGACTCTGTGTTAGATGACCTTACGTCCCTTAAGGTTTTACGTCTGGAGAAGAATTTTATCACCTCTGTCAGGCCAGAGGTGTTCAGAACTCCCATGAGCAACCTCAGTGTCCTTGTCATGGGAAAAAACCCGTTCGACTGTACCTGCGAGAGCATCCTTTGGTTTGTCACGTGGTTGAACAAAACTAATGCTAGCGTGCCAGGTCTCAGAGATCAGTACATGTGCAACACCCCGATACTTTACTTCAATCACTCCATCATGGACTTTGACCAACTTTCTTGCAAAGACATGACCCCATTCCAGGCCTTTTATGTGCTGAACAGCACAGCTGTTTTAATGCTGATTCTCACTGCTCTTATTTACCGATTCCACGGCTGGAGGATCCTGTTCTACTGGAACATATTGATCAATCGCACATTAGGGTTTAGTGACGCCAAAGTGGAGGAAGGCAGAGAGTTTGAGTACGACGCTTATGTCATACACGCTGAGGAAGACGCCCGCTGGGTGGAGAGACGACTGGTTCCTTTGGAGAACGAAACCTGCAAGTTTTGCTTGGAGGATCGAGATTCTGTTATCGGCATGTTCCAGGCTGGCTCCATCGTGAATAACATGAGAAAATCTAGAAAAATCTTGTTTGTGGTGACCGAGCGTCTTCTCAATGATCCCTGGTGTAGACGGTAAGTCAAGCACACATTGCTCAGTTTTATTTATGCTGCATTGGGGCAACTTGACTTTCAACATGACTTCTTCTTCTTCTAAATTTGAGGTAAAGAAGAATATAAAGGGGCAGTATCAGATAAAATTGACTTTTGAGCTTTACATTGTGTTATATTGTTATTTCTAGGGTGTTGCTATGATCCTGTAATGCCTGTTTAAGAAATCTTTTAATCTCTTGTGGCAGCCAGTCAGCTGTGCAAAACACCCAGGTTGTCTCTTCATTGAGCTGCAGTCTCCCAGCTGCAGGCCTCCCTCGTTACTCCCCCAATGTTCTCCTTCAGACTAGCCAGCAACAATTTGCAAACACCTGGTGGAACTGCACATCTGCTGAGCTATTTATAGAAGCCACTTCTGTGTGCAGCGCTGGTAAAGCGTTGTTAAAGGGTCAATAGGAACCATGTTGTGATGACCTCCTGAAGGCAGAGTTTCAGAAAGAGAGTGTTTTGAAAGACACAAAGGTGTTAAATATCAAAGTCAAATTTCTTTTAAGTCATATTTGATATGTATAGTATTTCTAGAACAACTGAAGGTAACATAGTCACTTGATTGTGGACTATGTGCCTGCAAAACGCATAATACTGCCTCTTTAATATACAATGTAATGCATATTAATATAATATAATGTAGGGAAATTATACATGACAACAGTTTTCAGTAGCAACATTAGAGACTCATGTCAATTTACGTTTTTTTGTTCACCTCATGTAAGCTGACTCCACTATGTTCAGACAACACTGTGTTGGCTTAATGCCAAATCCTGCAGGATTTCTCCAACACTCGTTAAAACTGGGTCTTTGTCATTAGTGTGTGTTTAAGCACAGACTAAATTTAGAAGAACTTTAACACCAACCTCGTAGTAGTACTGTTTGTATGAACCGCTTTCTTGATTTCACGACGTATCTTTTAAAGCGCATCTATTTTTTGTGAAAATAATAATTGCGCTCTTCAAAGCTTTTTCACCACTTGATTTTTTTCTTGTCCTCATTCAGATTTAAAGCCCACCATGCACTTCAACAAGTCATCGAAGCCAGCAGAGACTCGGTCGTACTGATTTTTCTGCAGGATGTGCACGACTACAAGCTATCTCGCTCACTTTTCCTCCGCAGAGGCATGCTGCGTCAAAGATGCGTCCTCAACTGGCCTGCACAGAAGGAAAGGATCCCAGCCTTCAACCAGAAGCTTCTCATTGCTCTGGGAATGACTAACCGACTGGAGGAGTGATTGTTTCCCAGGTGTTGACAAGCTTAGATGCAATTCTGGTTGCCTTTATGCACTATTTTCTGCTTTCTGCCGAGATATTCTGCTTGCACAAGAGCTGTTCAACCAAAGAGTAGAATTTGTGATGTACTTGAACAGTGATGTAGAACTTGACCACATAACAGAATGATGTCACAGAATGTATCATCATCCAAGCGAGGAGCATAATTATGGCAATGCATGGGAGAATGTTAAAATGCAGCAGTGGTTACAACTACAGTGTTTCAGAGCCACATCAATCCAAATGATGCTTAATTATGTTTTCCAAAAATTTGATACATTCATAGTGGCCTACTTGCAGTTGTTAGCAGCTTTTCCCACATCATTCAGATTATAACTTTTTGGAGAGAAATTACGGTGGCCTATCAAAAGGAAGACCTGGTTTCTGTTACCGACAGGGCAAGATATTATTTAAGTACTTGGGATCAGTATTGGATAAATGTTTTTAACAAATTGTCTGGAATCTAGCCCAGTGCTTGCTTGATTATGTAAAAAATGAAAAAATAAAATAAAATACTTCACTCATCATATAGGAGAAATTATAGAGACTGACCTGACATTAAATTATCAGACTGGATGAAAATTTAGAGTAATGTTAAAGAAAGAAAATGAATCTCATTTTATCCTGGACTACTGTTATCATTGTCTCTGTTTTCTAACCCACATTATTATGATAACATGTAAATACTTAAAGTTTACGTCTATTTTTCACAGCTTGCAACAATACAAATGCATAACTTTGCAATAAAAACAAAATACACACACTGGTAGCTCATCTTCAGAAGTATTTTCTGGTTATTGTTCTGTAACGCCTCCTGACTGGTGGAGTGAGCTGATGCACTTCTGGACCCTGGAGTTGAAGACGCTGGTACAGATAGTAATATTCATTTTTTGTCCATTGTTTTATAATCAAATTTTCTCAGAAACAAAACTTTGGGCTATCAAGCCAAAATCATCAAAATGAACTGAAATAAATGCTTGAAATATAAGCATTTGTGTGTAATAAAAAACAAAATTAAAAACGTATTATTATTATTATATATTTTTTAAAGTTAATTAGTGAATCAGTTGATGATATAATGTATTGAAATGCATTATAAGCTGCCCAGTATAAGCTGTCCTGACATCTTGTGGTTACTGGACATTATTGCAGCATTTACTAATTTTAAAACACAAAGCAATTGTTTTCAACATGACTGTTTTGATGCCTTATAAGCGTGTTTGATTATGAAATATTAGCTTTATCAAGTGTCATATATAGTGACATTTTTTGGTTAAGAAATAATATAACATCTCTGGATAATTAATGTGTTCAACAGCATAGCACAATAGGGTGCTGTTATCATATATAAATATTTTTTTCTGCACAATGAATGCAAACATAGCCAAACATTTTTATGAAAGTCTTTTTAAACTTAGTGCATTTTTCAAAAAAGAAAAAAAAAGAAAGAAAAAAACTGAAGTTCCACAAATATGAAAGTAAACATCAGAGATGGGCAGATGGAACCAGAATATCAAGTTGATATTAGTATGGGATCAATAGGCGCATGATAGGATAGATATTTTAGTACCAGATTCTCTCTCAAAATGTTGTTATACTTTTGTATTGAAATTTCTCAACTCTCACACAAAAAATATCTGCATTTCCTCTCAAATGGTAACATGATTTTCACTACTGAACTATTTTGTAGACACATATAAACTTTGTACACATGCTATCTGAGTTATGTACAAATTCATTCAAAGAGAAAACACACACACACACACACACACCCACACACACACACACCCCCCCCCCCCACACACACACACACACACACACAAAAAATGGTACCAGTATCAGTATTGGAGATACTGGCCCTTAGTTTGGCTCCTCTTCCCTAGAGAGGTGCCAAACATGCAGTATGGCACCTCTCTAGTAAACATCCTTAAATCTGTTGCATTCTACTACATACAAATAAATACAACATACACTTTAAAGGAAGAAAATAAAATCTGATTAGATTCTGCAGAGGCAGTGAGAGGTTAACTTATCTGTCCAGATGGTACTTTGTCCATGCCTGCTCCTTTTATCATTCCTCTTTTAATGATAATAATTCACGTGAGTGAAGTTACACCCTCCTCGACCACACCTTCTTCAAATCTCAAACATTTGTGCAGCAAAATCTTTTTGCTTTACTTTTCTTTGTGCCGCTTTAAAATCAGTGACACAAATGAAAAGTTTTTTTTTTTTTTTTTTACAAACATTTGGCATGAATTTTGATTGATTTTCTAAAAGTGGGTAGACTGGTTGACCTTTTGACCTTTAAACTTTCATTAATATCTTCAAAGTCAAAGCAGCACAAAACAAACATGTTTGCTGCACAAACGTACTTGAGTTGGTTGACAGCAATTTTATATGATTTAAAGAAAGTGAGCGTGGCTGGTTGACCTTTCATGACCTCTGGAAACATTTCTTAATATCTTTAAAATGATACTGGCACAAACCAATATTTTTGCCGCACAAACGTTTCACACCAATTTTGTCTGATTTGAAGAAGATGAAGGTTGGAACCCAACTTCACTCAGGTGCCATTTTTTGAATCCCAAGTTCTATATTTCTTAAACTTAGATTCATTTTGTTGTCGTTGTACAAAGACACAACACAGTGAAATTGTAGTTCTATGATTATTCTGTCTTGTTGCTGCTGACATTATTTCAAGGCCATGCCGGTTGCAAATATCCAACAAGAGGTCTTTCTTGTTGAGCTGTGAGATGGCTGCATGTAGCCAGATGCATTAGCCATCAACTGTAAAAATATTCATAAAAGATAAATGACACAGATACCTCTGCTACATATTAACCAGTCAGGTTTGACATTGTGCAAAATGTTGGTGTTCCTGCTATTCAATGAGATAAAGAGCTGAACAAAGTTCATGATCTGGGCCAGCCAGCTCAGGTATAATATGAATGATTAACACTTTTATTGCATCATGTCTGCAATTAAAACACACCATATTTAATAACAGTTTTACATCAGTGCAAATCTGTCCACTGTTGTGAATAACCAGTTTATTTTAAGGTACTACTGAGAAAAAAAAAAAAAAAAAAAAACAGGTTACCTGAGGGCAAACAAACCGAGTATAAAGTCAACCTTTCCCAGTAAGCTTTGAGCAGATTGGGGCCAAAGAGGGAAGGAGCAGTGAGGGCAGGGCCTTTGTCTCTTCCTATTAATATTCAGGATCATAAGGACAGACTGGTGCTCATTTCTTAGCATTCAAACAAGTTGGACAGACAGGATAGAAGCATGGCAGTTTTATTTGGAAGCTACAGTTTACCATTTCTGGGAGCTAGCATCTTCATCGCAGCTCTGACCTACATCACCTACAATCTGCTGAGCGGTTACCTCCAGAAGTGGTTTGGGATGAAACCTATTCCAGGGACGGGTTCCACGTACCCCTTAATTGGAGACGCACTGATGTTCAAAACCAACGCAGGAGGTAAGAAATGTGCCAGAGGACCGTAATGTGAAGTACATTTTCCTTCTGACCAAACTGTTTCTGTCTGCACCTTGTTACAGATTTCTTCAGTCAGATTGTGGGTTTTACACAGGACTTCAAAGATGCGCCGCTGTTTAAGATCTGGATTGGACCAATTCCCTTTGTTGTCATTTTTCATGCTGAAAATGTTGAGGTATAGCAGCAGCACAACATACCGACACTTCACAATGAGTACAGTAACAATATCATTGAAAGGTTCAAAACTTAAATCATATCCTACCTGAAATAATTTTACACATATAGCAATATGTATCAAGTACTTACTTTTTATTTTGACTCTTCTTTTTAAAACGGAAATTGCTAACTTTTGGAAAATGTGTCCCTGGCTGCACAAAACATGCACTTAATACTTTTGTTTTAAGTGCAAATCTTTTTGCAAAAATGATTGCATCAATGCAGCGTGGAACGATGTGATCAGCTTGTTGTCTCTGGTATTTTTCATCTTCCTTCCAAACAGCGATGTGGTTTAGGTCAGGTAACATCAAATGTCATTCAGTGACAGTGATATGATGGTAATCACTCCAGCTAGTTGTATTTCTCTAAATATGCGCATGTCCAACGTCCTGTCCCAAATTAAAGGTGGGTTCATCCCACTGGCATGTGAACATATAGCTACCACGGTTTTTCCTTCCACTCAACCTTCCAATTATGTGCCTGAACTAACAGCTTATTTAACAGTGAGCTTTAACAATGAGTCCATTAGTGCCTGTGTTGCTGTCGAATCAGCATTTTGTTTTGCTATGAAAACACATTTCTACAATATCTAAACATCCTGTAAGAAATTATCTTTGAAACTGAATTTGGTTAACGACAACCCAAGATCATCACAATGAACAGAAACAAACACCTGAAATAAATAACACTGTGTGTAACAAGCTGCACAAGTTTCACTCAGAACTAAATTGCTCCCACAAATGTGCTCTTCAACATTTTAGTTTTCTGAGCTGCACCAGCATAAATAAAGTGCAAGTCTCACCAACTGAATACAATGTGTTAACTGAAAACAATGTTAACTGAAAACATTGTGTATGTGTTTGCATCCCAAACGAACGCATCCCATGTGTTTAAGATGCATTTGATCTTTTTCCCATTGGTGGTCATGCTTTTCATTCTCACCCTGTTATGAATCAGTGTAACAGAGTCTCAGTAATGACCTTAATGACCTTCTGTCTAGTTCAAACCTGCATCTGCAGCCAGGTTTTGGGGGCATGCGTTAGTCTGAGCTCTGAGATGGTCTTCACAAAGTTATTTTTAATAACTGTGGTTGAAATGTGTTACCTTTGTGACTGGCCAGTTCTTATCACCTAAACTATGTTTTGTAGAAGATTCTGGGCAATCCTGTTCACCTCACCAAGGCTTTTGCTTACAAATTTCTCCATCCTTGGCTTGGAACCGGCCTTTTGACCAGGTACAGATGTTACATTCACACAAGCAAAAAAAAAAAACTAAACACAGCAGCTAATGTCATAAATGAAACTTTTAACATTAAATTCAATTCTTTTGAGCAACATAGTTGTAGATATTGCTTGGAGTCGTGGCATAGATGGAAAAAAAGTTTCTTTTTTTCAGCACTGGGCAAAAGTGGCGACAGAGAAGAAAGATTCTGACTCCAACCTTCCACTTCTCCATCCTCACCGACTTTCTACAAGTGATGAATGAACAGGCGGAGATCCTGGTGGAGAAGCTGGAGAAAAAGGCGGGGAAAGGTTCTTTCAACTGCTTCAGCGACGTCACCCTTTGTGCGCTGGACATAATCTGCGGTGAGTAGATGCTGCGTTTTCACAACGAAAAGACAATATTCTGTCAGAGTCTCATGATGAGGTCAAAATCAAATACCGTGAATGCAGGGAAAAAGTAACAAAAAGAAAAAAACAAAAAAAAGAAATAGACCAGAGATTTATTTTGCATTAAAGACTCAAAACTGAAGACAACCAGTTGAGCAGAAAGTAGAAAAAGCTTTGCTGGGTTTATAATTTGCTGTAAGAGAACAAGCCTGGGTTCTTTAGGTTTCTGATGTTCTGATTTAATATATAGCTGCAGATGTTTTGCCAGAGCTGCCACTCAAACAGCATCAGTTTTTCCACACCATAATGACACATTACATGTTAAATTAATGGAAGAGTCTCCTCAAATGGCCATAAAATGAATTAAAAAACATAATATTCTCAAAGACTCGTGGTGTTTGTGACCCGTTATATGTCTCATGTTTGTTATTGTCCTCCTGAGCATGTCTGTATTGAATATGCAATGGAAACAGGATATGAAAGGGGCAGTATTATGTATTTTCCAGGCACAAAGTGCTATTTTATAGCTCAGTCAAATAACTATGTTGCCTTCAGTTGTTATAAATTTTTTGTAAATATCAAATTAATGAAATTGGGCCTATATCTCTTCAAAAACTCCTGCTCGTCACAACACGGCTCCTCTATTAACACTTTAACAACATTTTGCCAGCGTTGCTCTGAGAAGCAGCTCCTATAATGAGCTCTGCTCCTGGTGTTTGCTAATTGTTGCTGGCTGGTCTGAAGGAGCTGAGTGTTGGAGCCGCAGTGCTAGGTTCACCCAGCCACTTTGCATAGCTGAATTGTTGCCATGGGAGATTAAAGGATCCCTCAAACATGCATGAAAGAATCATAGCAACACTCTAGGTATGAAAAGAAGAGAAGAAAATGGCCAGAAATGCAATAATAAAGTGCATCCAATCTACTTTTCCTATTACTACTATAATATAATGTCAACATTGTGGAAAACAATTGCTACAATGTTTTTGCTATTGTTTGTATTTCCACACATTGTCCAAACATCCAACCTGAAAAATGCTTCTATCCAGACGCTACAGATATCATTTATATTCATACATTTTGAAACACTTTTGTCACACAAGTGTTTCAAAAAGGGAGATTACACTTAATAACAGAAAATACTTTACTTACTTTACTCACAGTAGCGAAAACAATTGCCATCTTTCTCAAACATACGACTAAAGTTTAATTAATAAATCATAATATTATTGAAAATGGAGCTCACTTACGCTTTGGGGAATATTAATAAAACAAAATCCCAAATGTATTTCAGAAAGATTTTTTGCTCTCCAGGGTTTCCTTTACCAGAGAGGTTTTGCTGATTTCAGTAAGATACCACAGCACATTCTGCACATTCATCTGAGTGACTGTTGAATTATTTTGTTCCAACTCTGTATTACTTCAACTTTCAGTTTCCTATACACTTGAAGTTTTGTCTTTGTAGTATTTTCAAGTAAATTTAATCTGAATTGTTTTGCAGAACATGTTTCCCTTTTTAATGACACGTTTTACTTTGGTTTCGAAACTGTGTGCAAAGTACAGATGTGCAACTTCATATACATTCATTCCTCATTAAATAATAGACTGAAAATGTGTGAGTGTGTATTTGTGCCATGATGTAGGAACAAATATCTTGATATGCAAAACATCTTTGCTCTTTGTTCAGAAACTGCGATGGGAAGGAAAATTTATGCACAGAGTGATTCAGAGTCAGAGTATGTCAAGTGTGTTTACAGGTATGCTTTTTAGCTTCCTCACGGACAAATGTGAAACGTCAAATGTTCAAAAAGCTCACCACCATGTGCTGCCTTCAGGATGAGTGACATCGTCAGCCACAGACAGAGGACGCCCTGGTTTTGGCCCGACTTCATCTACTACTACTTCGGTGAGGGGAAGAACCACGACAAGACGCTGAAGATCCTCCATTCCTTCACCTACAAGGTGAGTTACTGAGCCTGGGGCTGAGCAGACAGCTCAACAGCTTAATGTCGTCCCTAACAACATCTGTGTGCAGGTGATAAAGGAAAGGTCTGAAAACTTGTCCTACATTGAATCAGACAGCGACTCTGACCACGGCAAGAGGAAGCGACAGGCTTTTCTGGATATGCTCCTGAAAACCACGGATGAAGACGGCAACAAGCTGAGCCATCAGGACATCCAAGAGGAAGTGGACACCTTCATGTTTGAGGTTAGTGGTGAGAAGAGCAGTAGGTTATTTTAAAAAAGAAAAACAATATCACAACTGCAAACGCATGATCTCTTTTCCAGGGTCATGACACCACGGCTGCCTCCATGAACTGGGCCCTCCACCTGCTGGGAACCCACCCTGAGGTGCAGCAAAAAGTTCAACAAGAGCTGCATGAAGTGTTTGGTAACATTAATATGGCCCGTCGTTCTCTTCTTCACTTATTAACTTGGTTAATATTCCAGCCCAAAGTACTTTGAATCGTCTTTATTCACACTCATTGTTCTCTCATAAATTTAACAACCATGACCACCTTTTGTTGACATATAACTCCCCTCTTTAAAAACTATTGTCTCTGCAGTGTGGAATAATGTACAGTGTGCAGTTTGAGCTAGAAGGCCTTTGAGCTGCAGTAAATGCTAATTTTGTAACAGCTGAAGGAACTAAAGATGCCCTGAAGAGCAGGCGCATTAATTAAACCATAATTAAATCTTGTACTGAAAAGTTCAATTTCCTCTTTATACCCAGAGCAAACGTCTTTATCCAGCATACAGAGCATTGTATCAGGACCTGCTTCACTTTGTCTCATTTTGTCATGTTACCAACAAAAATGTATCTTGATGGGATCTTATGAGAACTACCAACAGAACATAAAACATAGTCAAAGGATCCATCCCCCATCAACACACCCGTCTGTGCGTCCAAAGGTCAACAGTCCATCACAAGTCAACACAGAAACAGCCAAAGAACATTCTGGCCTTCGTTTGGTGGAACATTAATACAATCCTGAACACACTATCCACACTTTGAGTCTCGGTGGTGGCAGCGTCATGCTGTGGAGATGGTTTTCTTCAGCAGGGACATGGAACTTGTTCAGAGTTCCTGAGCTGATAGAGTTTTTACATCTGCATTTGTTTAGTTTGCCTTGTCTTGGTTGCTGTGTGAAGGTTCGTCGGGCCGACCCATCAACATGGAGGACCTGAAGAAGCTCAGGTACCTGGAATGTGTGATCAAGGAGGCTCTGCGGCTGTTTCCTTCGGTGCCTTTCTTCGCTCGAAGCCTCTGTGTCGACTGCAATCTGAGTGAGTCACACACGACAAGAACACCTCGGATTAACATATCCGTACTGTGGTAGTCGTTCAACAACACACATTTAAATTACATCGTCAAATTTGACTTAGAATGTGATCCACATGTACATTGTTTTATAAGGATATTATATAACATTATTTCCAATGATACTAGCTCTCAGCTGATGTCTAGAAATATGGACATTTACATGATCTAAGTGGTTTCACAAAGCCACAATTCCCTAAAGAAGATTGGGCAATTTAAAGAAAATTTCTTCTTTCATTTTGTCAAAATGTTTAAAAAGTGGTCACTAAGAAACAGTGCCTGCCAGTTCCTACCACATAATTTCTCATGTGTTTCCCAAGTAAAACAAAAATTGAGAAACAGAAGCACTTTAGCTTAGTTCTTCCTCTAAGCACATGGGAAATGTTTACAGTAGGGTGCACTGATTTATCGGTCAGCCAATTTATCGGCACCAGTTTTTTTGTTTTTGTTTTGGGAGATCAGTGATCCACCAATACTTACATCTGAAGCTGATCTTATCTATTTCAGAAAAGGTCTAAAAATCAGTCACTGTTCTGCTAGCTGTAAGAGAGACTGATCTTGGTCAACACCAATTTCTTTTTCCTGAAATGTCATTAAATATTTTGACAAACAGACTGGCTGACCAGGTCATGTCTGCACATTTGCACTTCATAGTCACCTCACTTTTGCTTTTTTAGTGTCAATTCAGACAAAACAAATTGGCGTTGGCCAAAATTGGATTCGGTAGGTCAGGCTTTTTAGAGAACGGTAACTGGCAGTCGGCCAAAAACCTGCAATCAATGCAGCCCTAGTTTACAGTCACTGACATGAAAAAGTCATCACGTATTTTCCTAGAGTGAATTTTCAAAGTTCCAGCTTCTGTGAAAGTAAAATTTGTCAGAAGCTTGGAAATTTTACTTCAACCTGGGATAGTCTGTAGATAATTGTTCTTTGATTTTACACATGTAGTAATTAGTAAAAAATAAAAATAATTAAATTGGTGTTTACTTCTGTTTTCAGATGGTTTTAAAGTCCCCAAAGGAGCGAATGTGATCATCATCAGCTACGCTCTTCACCGTGATCCGCGGTACTTCCCAGAACCGGAGGAGTTCCGGCCGGAGCGATTTTTTCCCGAGAATTCAGCTGGAAGGCCTCCGTACGCATATGTCCCGTTCTCCGCCGGACTCCGCAACTGCATAGGTGAGAAATGTAGATTTTAGGTTTTGGTCTTTTCACTCACAGGCTTTTGTTTAGCGTGCCATGTCTCATGCTGCTGTCTGTGTGGTATTGTGATGTTCAGGCCAACGTTTTGCGCTGATGGAGGAGAAGGTGGTCCTGGCCTCCATTCTGCGTAACTTCAACGTGGAGGCCTGTCAGAAACGTGATGAGCTTCGTCCGGTAGGGGAGCTCATCCTGCGGCCAGAGAACGGCATTTGGATCAAACTGGAGAAGAGGGAACCGCTGGCTTCATAATTCAGATTCTTGTCATCCATTCATTCAATTATTCATGATGTTAATTTTGTAAATTGAAAGTTGTTGAAACTGATTTGTAATCTAAATGAATACAAAAAATGTACCGTTTCTAGGGTATTTTATTATTCTTCTATCGCTTTTGTAGCACAAAAAAACTTAAAGGGGCGGTATTATGTAAAAATCAACTTTTTTGAGCTTTTAAATCATGTAATGTTATTCACTCATCAAAGTCATAGCTGGAGTTTTGGCTTGATTCTTTCATGCATGTTTTGAGAATTTAGTTTTTCTTTAAAATATTCATATTATATTGTGGTTTTATGCCACTATAAAACGCTGCATATGAAAGTGGATCCTATCACAGAACAAAAGAGTTGAAATGAACTGGAGGGAATTTGAGCCTTTGTTTTGTTAAAATAAGCACCAGATGGCGTTAGTGAGTTCAAAGGAGGAAACAGTTACTATGTGGAATAATTTGGGGATTTCCTGTAATTGCAATTGTGTGTAAAACTGTGACGATAGTGGAAGAAGCCAAATAGAAAAAGAGCTGTGTTTATGCTTCAAGAAGTAAAAATGACATATTTCAATCATTGCTTTGGACACAGGTTTGTTTTTTAAGAGTCAAAACAATAACCTTATGTCTAAACTTTGTGAAGGTTTTAAAATGTCTATTATTTCAAATTGATTTCCTAATCAATATTCAAGCGGAAAGAGCAAACTTTGTGAAAATCCTGTTAGCAGTGATCCAAAGTCTGTCCAGTTTGTGTGTTTAGAGGGCGACCCAGACAGGACACAGGCAGACATATGAAAATGAATTCATGTCGTTCTGAGGCCCTTTCACAGACAAACTGATCATAATCAGACGTATACGATCAAATCAGGCAAACTTTTTGAAGCAACATTGAGGCTTCTCATGAGAAACTGAATCATAATGAGGTCAGATGGTCCTACTGTGAGGAAGGGTAATCATAGCATGACACACTTACAAATGACCCCATTCATTATGTCACAGGATGATTTAAAGGGCGTGTCTGCAAGGGTCATTGCTAACACCGAAATGACTTCACTGATGATGGATTGTGGGATATTTTCCAATGCTATTATTTGAATTATTGAACACATTTCTTATCAATGACCAGAGAGAAGTGAGGTGCTTCATCTCTGAATTAAGCAGAAAGAGCTCATTCCTCTGAGGCTCTCTAAAATAAGGTTCATATCTCTTTAGTGAATGGCGCGTGTCAGTTTTAAATTGTTCCTAAATGTTTATCCAGCTCCTAAGCAAACTTATTAGAAATAAATTATAAATCAAAGTTTGTAGTAGCAACATCAGATATATCGGTTTATACAAGTTTACCACAAGTTTTGACAGACAGACAGACAGATAGATAACATTCATTGTAATAATTACAAGATTATAACATGAAAAATACTGTGACGTTACTGGGATAGAAATGTAGTACTCACAATCCAAGGGTTTTGCACTTTATTTAAAAAAGAAATTTAAAAAATGAACATAATATCTATGTGAGCATTAAAAGGCAGACTAAAATATTTATAATAAGTGAAAATAAAAAAACAGCGTGAGATCAGAGATTCTACACACTAATTTTTATATCGCCAAAATATGTGTAATCAACAAGTGTGACATAAAGTAACAGCACAAACAAACCAGATGACAAAAGTTCTTACAGACAGTTATAAAAGCAAGAATGTCCTAACTGTTTACAATGTTCCCAATTAAGATGATGAAATTGCAGTCAGTGCAGATCATTGTGGAGTTCAGAGAATAAACTTTAACATATTGTTAGTTTATTATTCACTAATTGGGTTAGCACCACAACACATTAAAGATCGGCTGTTGCTATATCAACCTTCCAGAAATGTTGCTAATTTAAAAATAATATGTCAATTAAGATATACTGAAATATAGATATAAATATTTTGCATCAGTAATGGCTCAACCGATTTTTGTCCAAGAATTTTCTGAAGATGCTGCTACTAAATACATTCTGACTTCAATTTGCTGCATTCATCCCAATAAAACCCTTACATGTTATGCCAAAAAGTACAAGTGAAGAATGAGGAAAGCAGGAAAAAACACGTTTCCATGCATATTGCTGGACACATGACAACTGTGCAACAAAAATTAAGAGCATGAAAAGTCTTCGGTCCGTCTTTAATATGAGTACATTTCAAGTGAGACACCAGTGTGGCCTCTGGAGCTCTTGAATTAAATAGAATGAAGCCCTTTTGAAAAGAAATATGGTGATTGATTTTCTCATTTTCTTTGAAATTGATCTTGCTGTATTAAAAGACATAACTTTCTGCTCAAAGGACACAGCAAGGTCTTCTAATTTAGGAATTAGGAAGGATAACTTTCAAAACCGAGAATTATTTAACTCCTCTAACTTTTCAAATGTAGATTAACTGCAGATGAAACCGACGACCTCAGAGTGGCAGCACAGTATCTTTGGCTGAACATGAGCACAGCAGAGAACAGCTGCCTGGTTGCTGACTGCATGTTTCTAGTTCATGCATGTCAAAAACAGCAGGGGAGGAGAAAACAACAAAAACAGTAGAATGCCTCTTGCACTTTACTTCAACTTGCTAATACAATAATAAGCATTTTGTTCATGATCCCACCAGATAAATGTGATGGATGGATGGATGGATGGATGGATGGATGGATGGATGGATGGATGGATGGAGGATGGATGGATGGATGGATGGATGGATGGATGGATGGATGGATGGATGGATGGATGGATTTTTGAACTCTTCCTGTTTTCATACATGCTAGTGGAGCACAGCTTGTTACTACTGGAGTTTAGGCTGCAGAAGCCCAAACTTCTTCACTTTCGCCTCACATGTCAGATAAACTGCAGACTAGATGTGAGCGTGTTTGCAGCAGGTACAGTCAAAGGATGAGTGGCTGGGCTTTGCTCTGATCTCTGATTGTTCTAGCAGCAGCTCAGAATCAAAAAATAAATAAAGATGAGTGTAAATGTTGGTACATGTTTCAGGGGAATTTGCAGTCATGGAACCTGAATGGGCCATCTACATGAGTTTGTAGATGTGATCAACTCTTATGAGTGATTTTGTGGGGGTGCTTCAGTAGTGTGGGTCTCAGGGTTGTGTTTTTGCGGCAACCAGGTCCTTCACTCTCAACTGATGGTTGGAAAGAAGTCACTGCTTCTATGCGTAAAAGATAAAAAGTCAGCTCAGGCCTTTATTTGGTGGTTTAGAACATCCCACTGACAGCAGACTCTGGGACAGACACTCATAGGGGGGCATTTATGCCAGCCCTGTTTAGTCAACTTCAATCAAACTTCAGTTTGTTTGTCCAGAAATCAAAGAGATTCATGTTTTCTGTGGCATGAATAAAAAAGACACATCTAAACATTATGGCTCAGTAAACAGAGAGCATCTGCATTCTTATCTGTGAAACTCAGTTCTTCCTTACTTTTTCAACTTTTTTTATTACACATGTAAACAAAAAAAAATGAAACTAAACTTTTCCATATTCTTTATCTCATGAAGTTGCTCAAAAACTTGACCAAGAAAACATTTTATGGAGTTGGATTGAACTGATGAATTCATGTTGCATCCCTTATTTTCATATGGAGAATAGAAGCGACAATATGCAGAATTGAAACCTTTACCTTTTCCCATGACAGAAATAGTACATTGCTGTGACAGCAAAATGGTCTAATAAACATAGCAGGTTGTATACAAGAAACAGAGTCGAAGATGAAGACCAAAAAGATTTTTGTGTTTTTTTTTCTAAACTCCATGAAAAAAACCTTGTTTTATAATTCCTTAAGATCAATAAGGTACAGTACAAACTCAAGCCGCAGTTGCCTCAGGACACAAGTAGAAGGTGTAGCGAAGACGGTGCAGTATTTATATCTACATCTTGTAGACCTTGCTGGCCCGCAGAGCAGAGATTGCTGTTGAGGAGGATAGGATGTGACAGTATCCCTAGATCTGACCGAGCACCATGCTGGAGCTTCATGACACACTGCTATCTCTATTGGTTGCTTCTATTCACTCTCCCACACACGTGTGCAGGCACAAACACACACCGCTGCTAAGCACCGCTGCAGCACTCAGACTTAAACCACCCACTCTCTTCTAAGCCCTCTCTCCTCTCCGTCAGCCTCCATCCTATTTTCACATTAAATTAATGCCTCCACCCCTCAAGAAACCCAGCTCAAAATCACGACCGTGGTGTCCAGCGAGGATCAAGGCCGGGAGACGAGGATGGAGAGAATATACAGAGGGAAGAGGGGGGCAATGAGGCCGGTCAGGAAAAACCTGGTAGAACTCTGGTGAGACTGTGCTCACTGAAATTTGATTGAAGGAAAAATTAAAAATGCAAATCAATGAGGAGCAATATTTCCACCAAATCAGATCAGAAACTAAAAGTTATAACAAACTCGTCATGCCTAGTTTCTCTCTGTTCCCATAGTAACCAGAGAGATTGTTAGCATCCAACTTATAGGTCAGCTGACCAGCATTGCTTAAGGCCCTATCGCTATGCAGTCCTCACTTTCTTTGAAGTGCATGAAAACCTAATCTCACAGCCAAATTGTTTGAAATGTAGGTCATGGCTCCAATTTATTAGTCAGGTAAGACTTAAAAATCCAACTGCAGCTCAATATATCAGTCGTTAGCTGCTTTTGTACTTTGACTCTGTGGCACTCCCAGGTTCATTTTTCATTCACCAAAAAGAGAGAGCAACAATTAGATGAGAGCAGCTGTGAGATCCTAACGAAAGGCTGGAGTCAACTGAATATCTGCTTCATTGTTTTCTGCCTGATACAGCAGGAACATGCTGCTTAGTTAGACAGAGTTCCCATGAGCTTACACATGTGCAGCAGTACATTTGCCCTGGCCTAAGGCAATTATTAACATAATTAGTAGTTTAAAATGAACAAGTATGTTTTTAGTGCAAAACAAATATTGGTTGTTTTTATTTCCTATGACCTGCAAAAGGTTTCAAATTCTGAAGGCTGCATTAAAAAAAGCCTATCATGATAGGATAGGTAAAGCAAAGAGCTCTCTAAAGATTTCTGTATCCTTATTCTATCAGAACATACTAATGACATTAGTCCCAGACATATTTTTAAACTTGTGAATGTTTCATTAAGTACCGCTGGGGCCGAAGACGAGAAGTTAAAAGAACGTGATCAGCAAAATTTGTACACACACAGGAGTAAAACGGAAAAAAAAAAACAGAAGAGCCAAAGACTACTCAGTGCAAGATTCAGAAAAAAAACAAACATGGAAGTAGCTTTTTACTGAGAAGAGTAAGAACTCACTCCCATTCATGGCCACTGTATGAGACTTCATTGTTAAAGTATAAAACTGTAAGAACATTTGGACAAGACAACACTAGAAGGATATAGTCCTGTAAGACGACATCAAAATTAAACTGTTTGATGTTTTGCACAAATTCATCTCTCTGCAAAAGAGACATGGCTCTGCAAAGGATCACTGAAACACAAAGCCAACAAGAACACTCAGAGATGGGAATGGTATGGCCTCTTTCTCAGAAGGAAGGATTTTAATGAGATATTCTTGATAA